TTCGAAACAAAATGCTTTTGCATTTTTCATGCTTTACAACTATTTCTGTTTTTATGATCAGATAATGGATTACTTAAGGTTGGTAATTGATTCCAAAACTTCAGTTTTACGCTTTGGCATTACTAACAGAGAAATTATTTTATATGAATTTTAGTTAACAGTTAATAGCTGCAGTATAACAAAATGAAATGATATACTCCTTCCTGTCTTCAGTTGAATAACTGAAGATTATTAAGTCCTTTGAAAAAGTAGCATTTTAGTTTCAAAGGTTTTATAATTCTAAACTTGTTTAAAGTTCGTTAAAATACTTTGTTATTCAAAAACTCTGAGAGGTACAAGGATGTCTGAATTCTGTAAATAATACGCTTGAAGTATTGCATTAAAATATTAATTCTAATGACTAGTTTTTAAATAATTGTTTTCCTACGGGATAAATAGTTTATTGCAATTTATAAAATGATGTTCAGCTTTTATCTTGAAATATAAATATAATTTTGAGACAAAAGAAATGTTTTAAGAATGTTAAAAAAAAGTATACATTTTTCCCTATTAGCGGGCACTTAGCCGACTTAGGCTTGACCACTACTAAGGCCAGAATTTGTGGCCAATCTATTGTAGAAGCACCTAATAGGTGGGCACCGTTACCTCCTATGAAGGGAGGGACAATTATAATCATGCCTTCTCCAGAATTCGAACCCGGGCTCTTCGCTACCACAATAGACTCCCGTTACAACTCTACCGTCTGGGTGAAGAATATAAGTCATATTCCTTATAAAAGTTCTCAACCGCAAAATAATGTTTTCAAGGAATTAACTTTTATTTATCTTCAGAAAGTTAGCTAAAATAAGGAGCTTTAATCAATATACTTATGAATAGTATAAGCAAGTTATCAGAAACAGAATCAAATTCTAATTGCACAAAAGTTCGATTTTAATTAATATAACGACGAGCTTGATTGTTTATGTCAGTCGGTATTTAATTCAATTTTTAAGTAACCTCTTTGAAACACATATACTTGTTTCTCGTTTTCCATTTAAATTTTGCTTTCTACATATTTTTACTGTGTTTTCTTGTGTTTTTGCGTTTTCCTTTCTTGTATTGTACTTACTGCGCAAAAAATTTATGTGTTTGATAAAAATATTATTGCTTTATAAAATATTTTTAACTATACTTTCCCTCTTATATTTATTTTAAAGGATTTCTTCCTTAAGACATGACACAGCTTTATATCAATAAACAAATAATTATGTATTTTTTGATGGGGGTGTAATCAATGCGGTCTTAATTATGCAGGTCAACTGTCGGTATATATTCAGTTCTCAACTCCTTGATCTCTTTAAAAATATCATCGAGCCAATCCAGGAGACAATGCCGACCCCGTTAAGAACCTCTGATTTAAATACTGTATAATTTCTTGAAAGTACAGATACTCTTAATGAGGAAAGGATTTCAGAAGATGAAATTGACAGATACAAATGCAATAGTACCTCAGTATACGTCATTAATCCGATCCATAACCTTGGATGTACACCAAGCGAAAGTTTCCAATAAAGAATAAAAGACAAATAAATAATCCATTGTCCCATTGTTATTATTATAACACTATTTAATATTAAAATGCAGATGGAGTTAGTGAAATATATACAGTGCATGAAAGAAGCATTGGAGATGTTACTGTACATAAATTCTCTTATGCTCTAAAATAGTTTAGACTATGTAAAAAAGGAAAACAAGACTTCTATCTTTTTTTTTTTTTTTTTTTTTTTTGTAAAATTAAAAGGTATTGTAACTATGAACACATCAGAACGAATTTAACCAAGATAGCAAGTACTGATTTCGTTTTATTGCTTCACATAAGCAATAAAATATCTTGAAAACAACTTTATCCATAAATTTGTGCTAAAGTAACTATAATCTTTGTATTAACGTAAGAAATAATTAGGAACATGCATTTCTATTCTTCTAAAGTATAAACTGAGCCACAGTAAACGATCAAAAATGGATTAGAAACACAGTAAACGGTCAAAAAGGATATTTAAAGGAAAAATCGAAATCGACAATTCCCTATTGCACTTTTTTTTTTTTTTTTTTTTTTTTTTTTTTTGAGTAAAAGTCTGTACATTCAGATGAAATAAATGACTCTTTTTTTTTCAAGCGGTTTTGTAAAATGGGTTTTAAATGGATCCAAAGTGGAATGTTTCGTGACATCTGTACATACATCGTATTAATACTCGCTATGAAAAAATTAAAATATAAGAAGTTTCATTCCCGTATGACAAAATTGGACCAGAGTTCTTAATTTCAAAATTTGATATATTTTATGTCTTTTTCAAAGTGCCTTGAGGAATCGTTAATTAAATTAGAATAATTCGAGGAAATAAGTTTAAATGAAATTTGCAGCAAAAGATGTGTGTAATTTAACAGGCTGTACAAGAAAGTCATATGGTATCCACACATATTTTTTAACATTTACTTTTCTGCAGATGGTAGAGTTTCCAAAAAGAAAACTTGTAGCTTTGTTCCAAAAAGAAAACTTGTAGTTTCCTTGAGGCAGAAAAGATGAAGGATTATTGACATAATCTAACAAATATAGCTAAATGATCGTAAAAGAGAGATAAAGGATACATAATTTAACGATAAGTAAAGCGATAAAGTATAATTTCACGAAAAATTATGTAAAAGCAAAATAAGAATCAAATAGATTTTAACTAAAAAAATCATGTAAAATTTTTTTAATAAATTTATTTTGTCGATGAATGGATGTTGATTAAATTGCGCCATGACGATGTTTGGACTTTGTTACGACTGACGTTTATGATAAAGTGGAATTCGCCAAGTGTTAATTTTTTAACCTTTTCCCGGGGGCTGGGACATATATGTCCCGCACGTTCACTACTTTAAATGTGTCTCAAGAAATTTCAGTAAACTATGTGGATTTAAAATTTACTCCTTAATACGGATTAGGAAGTGCAATACCCTGTCGATTTGTTTTTCTGTTCCTTTCAGTTAAAATAAGTGACTAAATGGCCAAATACATTCGAAATTGGACCCTATAGCCCACGGGAAAGGGTTAAAACATTTTCTCAAATTTGAGAACCAGCTTTTATTGGCCGTGGGTAAGTTCTTACAAAATAGCCTAGGTGTGGATGGGTTGCCCGGGTCGAAAGTCTACACTAGGATTAATGAGGTCAAATCTCAACTTGCAGCAATCAAACGTTAGTGTGAGTTCTTTAAGGCTAATTACCAGTTAGGTATGGATAAAGATGTTGATGTTGCAGTTAAAGTTCTTGATAAATACGGTAATGGTTGTTGTAATAATTTTGTTAAACCTGGTACTAGTGTAATAAAGGATAATTCGATAGAATCGCCTTTTAGTAATATATCCTATCCGAATGCTGTAAAATATAATTCTTGTATCTTCCCTAATAATTCGAAGATAACTGAATGCAATAAGGTGTCAACGAAACGTACTAAGGACTCTCTAAATTTGAATGATTTCATTTCTCCTAGGAAAAGAGCTCGTCCGCGCAAAATTGTGAAGATTTCCACTGGCATTTATGTCAGTAACAAATTTGATATGCTAGGCAGAATTAATAGTGATGGTGATAGTAATGTTTCTAATGATGTACTAAGATTAGCAGTAAGGCTTCCCCAAATGGGAATGTAAGTAAACCAAAAGTTAAGCTCATCAAGGTTATTCCTTCGCTGAAGATTCTGAATTTTACTAAAAAGTTAAAAGATGATACCAAAGCAACATTTAAGGCTAATATTTCTGGTGATTTCTTAAAAATATTCCGTGACACTCCAAAGGACCATACGATATTATCTAGGCATTTCCTTGAGACAATTGTTCAGCATTGTATTGTTAACCCTAAAAATGTTAAACCAATAAAAGTGGTGTTGAGAGAAATCCCTTCGGGGTGTCCCTCACAGGAAGTGAAAGATGAACTAGTTGCTCTTGGTTTCAATAGAAGCTACTTAAAGTAGCTTCTATGATTAGATTTAGAACTCGCGTACGAATGTCTCAGTTAGTTAGTAAGCCTGGGATGGAGAACATTTATGGACTTGAGAATCTTATGTTTTTTCACATATCTGTTCAAACGAGCAAGCTAGATGGTGATGTTAGCAAGTCAGTGCCATAATTGTCAATATTTCTACCACTCCTCGGACAAGTGTAAATTAAGGTGTGTTAAGAGTGCGCTGCTTCACAAAAGCTCAGATTGTATAATTAAATGGATCTCCAAACACAACTTGCTGAAAGTTCGGTGGGGAACATACAGCAATTTATAGTAATTGTTCAAAACATCCCCTAAATTAATTTTTTTAAAGTATTAAGACAACTGTTTCTACGCCACGTGGTCAATCAACTGACTTCGGCGAGCAAAGTCAAGAAATTCCTAACTCCCAAAATGCATCTGAAAGTGCAAAAACTTCTTTGGAGAAAATAAAAATGTCTGAGAAGTCTACTTCCTGAATGAAGAAGAAATAGCTGTGACAATATTTCTACTGTCATCATTGACTTTTACCGCGTGATCTCGGAGATAAAGAAAATATTTACTATTTTTTCTATTTTGGATCTCCTCCAAACAATTACTAGCAAATTATATGATATAAAACAAGCCCCTACACCAGGGGTCGGCAACCTGCGGCTCTTTGGGTGTGAAGCTGCGGCTCTTTAGTTCCATACGCAACTATTATTTATTTTATCGCAAAAAAGGGGTGGAAGAACTGAAGTAGAGCACGAGAATTCAATCGGGATTGGACGCAGTCGTTCGCTTTCATATGCAACTCAGATGGTCTTCCGACTTGTCTCATTTGCCACAAAAAACTCGCACACAATAAGAAATCAAATTTAGAAAGACACATCACTAAAAAACATACTCGGTTTTGCTAGTAAATATCCAGCCGGATAAGAAAGAAAAAAAAAGCTGTCGACGAGCTCCAAAAACAAAAACAGCAATCAAGTTCCATGTTAAGTAACTGGGCGCAATCCACAAGTAATGTTAATCTGGCAAGCTTCGATATCATTAGAAATTGCAGAAAAAGGCAAACCATTCACAGATGGTGAGTATGTCAAAGATTGCTTCATACGTGCATCTGAAGAACTGTTTCGTAATTTCAAAAAGAAACCAGAACTCTTTAAAAAAATCAAAGATATGCCACTATCCGCTAAAACAGTACAAGATAGAATAGCTAAAATGTCTTCAAGTGTAACATATTTGCAGGTGGAAGATATTAAACTTTCCTCTGCCTTATCACTTGCTATAGATGAGTCTTGCGACATAAAAGACATGGCACAAGTTGCTCTTTTTGTCAGGTATATGTCTTCCCAGGACCCAAAAGAACTTATAGGATTGCTACCACTCTCGGAAGATATAGCGAATGCTGTGCAAAAATGCCTTGAAGACAATAAGATCTATTTAAATAAATTATTTCAATAGCAACTGATGGTGCCAAAAGTATGGCAGGGAAAAATAAAGGGGCAACAACGATTCTTCAGAGCAAAAATATACCACGAAATTCTTACGTTTCCCAGCATAATACACCAAGAAGCGCTTTGTGCCCAAACATTTCTGACCGAAATTGTCGAGGTCATGAATTTGGTAATCAATATTGTTAACAGCATCTTGTCAAAAGCACTCTACCATTGTCTGTTTAAAGAATTATTAAACGAAATGGAGACTCAGTATTCCGACCTCCTTCTTCACAATCAAGTGCGATGGCTTTCCAAAGGAAAGGTGTTGAAACGTTCTGCTTTGTGCTTGAATGAAATAAATGCATTCCTAAATGAAAAAGACATTAAAATCTCTGAATTAGAGAACGACAAATGATTGCAAAAATTTTACTTTATGGTGGATGTCACAGCGAAATTAAATGAGCTGAATCTAAAACTGCAAGGAAAGGGAAACCCAGCCTATATTTTGGTAGAAGATTTGGGTTGTTTTGAAGAAAAATTAATTCTTTTTGCAGAAGATATTGAGAGCGGTAAATTACTTCATTTTCAATTTCTAAAGCAATATTGCGATAAAACCAGTGCAACTGTAGATACGAATTACTTCAGCACAGTTATAAAAAAAATTAAAGATGAAGCTGACAGATTTGAGCAATTCAAAACCAACAAAATCACTCTAGCATTCATAGTAAATTCTCGCAACACAAATAGTAACGAAATCCACACTGAGCCATTTGGAATTGATATTGGATCTCTAGAAATGCAATTGATCGATTTAAAAAGTAAAGTTTTGTGGAGTGAAAAATTTACAGAGATGAAAATCAAGTTGGAAAAGTTGAAAGTCCAGAAATGTACGTAACGCAACAAAAAGCTTTAAAAGACAGCTTTCAAAGAAATGCCGCGAGTTGAGGTACTTATATTCGACGCATGGAATAGTTTTCCAGATTGCTACAGTGAGGTGAAGAAGTTAGCATTTGGAGTGCTGACTATCTTCGGATCGACATATTTCTGCGAACAATAACTTTCCTCGGACTTACGCTATGTGTAATTCAACAGAGAAATTACTAAAATTTTAACAGCAGCATAGCAGTATACGTTTAGAAAGCTCCTGCAACCTTAAGTGTTGGCATACATTTTTTTTTTTTTTTTATTGTTGTTTTTTTCGATCTTATCTCAGTTAATCATATCCATGTTCAGTTTCCTTAATAAGATGGCTTTACAAAACCTTTTTATCTTTTTATTTATTAACGTTTTGTTTGCTTACTTTATTTATTAAATACCACGATCTTGGTACTTACGCCACGTAAAATTCGATTCAACAGCAAATCCACAAAATATTTAAAAGCAACGTATCTCTAGAATTTCCGATAGACAGTCTCGCGGACTAGAGATAAGAGTGTTTTATTCCGTACAGTCTTGCCACTGCTCGCTTTGAAATCGTTGAATTTGTTAATCAAAGAGGTTCATTAAAGTTATACAAAATATGAAGTAGTTGATAAAACAAACTCGAAACTCACAATTCGGGCTTCCATCTTCCATGTTCCCATGTTCCGGTGGAGGACAGCGTTGATCAAAATTTGATGGCTCTAGATAAAGTTGTTTTTTCACAATGCGAGAAACATGCCTGCGTTTATGCAGGTTCTTTATAATTTAATTTCTTTAAATAGGATAATGGGCTATAATATTTTGTGGCGACAATTTGAAAAGGGTACGCCGTTAGAGTAATTCAGAGCAAAATGCCGTTTCGAGTCTAATATCCCATTCGGGACGAATGTCCCTTTTGAGCTAATGACTGAATATTTTTAATTTTCTTATCGCTAATGAAACTGGCGTAGCCTGTCTTGTTATTTAATTTTAATGCTATAATCCCTACTCATATTTATTTTTATAATCTCTTATATACATTATATAAATTAGCTAATAGTAATAGACATTTAATTATTTCTAAAGCAAATATTTAAGATTAACATAGATTTACAGTAACCTGTGCATTTATTTTTCCATTTAAAAGTATATTTGCATTCCCTCGACTATTTTTCTCTGTTCACTTCGACATTAAAAAGTTTATTGTTTACACATTTGAATATATTTATTGTGCATGTGGTGTAGTTAAACATGCCACAAAGATATATTTTATATGTATGAGCATATTTGAAATAAGTTTAACCAGCAGTGTGCGTTTGTTCTCAATTAATTTTCGTTTTCTCAGTTGCTATTCTTAAGCCAATGCAGGGGCTAAAATTCCATTTCTCTGCACATCAAATGCCAATTTAATGAAATTTTGAAAGTGTTCGAATTCAAATAAAGATGACCAGGACAGTTAACTGTTTCATTTCAAGTTTTGTCATCTCCAGATAACATACTCTTAGCAGTTTACCATCACAAAGTAGCACATGTTTAAGTAACAGTAACTCGCATAAAATTGCAGCTTCATTTTGCTAAATTTTCTCTGTTGTGGAAACTAATTCATGCGATAATGCGATTTTCTACCGTTGAAACAGAATCCTGTGCTATTACTGAAGCTTTCATTACCATCTCTTCGCTAAACGTAGAATTAAGTCAACCTGACTCTCATTTCTCTATAATCTTATTTCGAGTTCCTATTATAATTCTTACGATGATTAAATTGCATGCAATGTATCTTTGCCCTATCGCTGTTTTTCGCAAATGTTCTTCATGCTACATTTCCCAATATTATCACTTTATCTCATATTTCAGTTTGGCTTTTATTTATGCTTAAGTCTGTCTTTGTATGTGTTATTAAAAACATTATGTAAGCATTACTTTTTAGCATATACAGCTTATACATAATTTTATAGATAAATGATAATGATGAAACTGTTAAGTGTCCTATAAATTTGGATTCATTTAAAAAATTGTTTAAAATTATCAAAACTGAAGTATCAATTACCTGAAGAGTTAACAAATCAGTGGATTTTTTTGGAACTGCAGATATTCATCTTTGTACATATTTTTACTGATAGATGGTGCTATACATTTAAGGTCGAAAAAGACTTTTAAAAACTTGATGTGCAAGTGAGAGCTTAAAATGGAAATGAAATTTTATTTATTGTAATATAACTCAAATATAACAAATAAATGCAGTAAAAATCTAATGGTTTTTTAATTCTATGTCTAGCGACATTAAGAACATTACCTACCAATGAAAATTTGAGCTACATTTTATTCTTATGACAAAAATTTACAAATTTTAATAAGTTTTTAGGTGCAAAATGTATTTCTGATGCATCATTTTGTAGATTTTATGTGGATTTTTTTAAATGCCCAAATTTATAAAGCGTCGTGGATAAGCCACGGCATGCATCGCTACATCATGTAGAGCCTTAAAGAATCTTCAGCTACTATATACATGAATTTCACAAGCAATCGAAAACATATATGGCTTAGAATACCATGCTTTTTCCGCATATTTTGCCAATTATTTGTATAAAACTACTAAATAAACTTTTGCTTTATATCATAAATCACTTCTATTCGAATAAAATTAAATAATATCACCACGATGAGTAGTTTTTTACTAAAAAATATGCAATTCGATATAAAATATATTTTGTGATTTAATTAAAACTTTTTCTATCAAACTAGAAGGAATAATTCTGGAATATGTGAATAATAAGACATAATTTTACTGTAATTTCTCCAAAATCTCTTAGCAGTTCAAGAAATTACAAAAAAAAAACGGTCTCCAAAATGTTTATTTTTTATTACTGAAAGGGTAAAAATTTGCATTTGTGCATAAAATATATGTAAAAAAATATTTATTAGCCGCAAAATTACATATATATATATAGAGAGAGAGATAACTACAAATATATTTATTATTACTATTATTATATAAATTATATATAATAATTATAAGGAGAATTATATAAATTATTATTATCCTTTTAATGTTTGATTTTATTTTACCTTAGGATGATATGAAAAGTAAACTAATTTTTTGTAACTTGATATTTGGTATGTATTACATATATAAAAATGTTCAGATATAGTCCAGATAGTCTAGATGAATGTTTTCCAACCTTTTTTGTGCTATGCGCCACCTAATCCTCTCTAAAATTATTATGGTCCCCACAGCATATACATAATTTTTAAAATTCAAAAATTGAAATGTTCACGAAAGGAACTTAAAAGATAGGTTTTAGTAAGAAATATCTAAGCAATTTAAATGTCCATGTCTACAGAGAAAATTCTTAATAAAATATTTAAAATGCACCGCAATTTAAACATCTTTTTTACGTATACATCACTTACATTATTCTTTGGTTTCGGAATAAAAACAAAATAAAATTTCGAAAAATTTCAAATTCTTGAAGAAGATTTGGAAATTTGAATGTCCCTTGTCCCCTTAAACTCTGGACGAGTTCTGAATAGCCCTCTTAACAATCGAATTCCCCTCCCACCTGTGGGCCGTGGGCCTCACGTTGGGAAACACTGGTCTAGATTGTTAATATTCCACATATGTCCATATAGTTAATATTTCAACTTGGTATGATATATTTTAAAACTGGGTACAATTCAAAGTCCCATTACAGTCCTGGCAATAATACCTTATTTCTTTTCTCAGCCATTGCTGCTATTGTCAGAAACACCCGCTTCTTGTTTGTGCAAAAATTTAAGAATGTAAACTATGTAAAGTAAAATTGAAAAATTCAGTTATTAATTTTTCATAATAAGCTAATTTAAATATAATAATTTTCTTTAAAGCTTACCCAAACGAAACTATCATGAATTATAACATACAACACCTAAACGAAATCACGCGTCAAACAAATTAAAGCATATATATATATATATATATATATATATATAATGTTGATGATCTTATATTCACTTAGTGCGAAATCGAGTTATTCTACTACTTGCGCAATAGCTGAAAAGTAAGTTAATAATAATTTATTTCCTAAAGAAATATTGATTATATTATCTCCTAAGATTAATTTTAGTAGAATTATCTAAAAAGAGTGA